CATGAACAATAAAACTTATCGGTTAAATTTTTTAAAATGATATAATTTTTTTTTGTTTTAGTATTTTGAAGTTGACCGATTGTTACTATAAGCAAATTAATGATTATAGATGATCTGCACTGTAGAACGGAAATCAATTAGAAACATTAAGCCGATATATGAAATTTAATATAAAATCTGACCCATAACTCAAATGACGTGTGGATTGCAAAACACACGTCACTTGAATTTTGTGATATACCCATCAATCGAATGACTTGAGTTTTATGATACACCCATCATTTGTATGACTTGAGTTTTGCAATCCTCATGTCATACATAACCTAGACCAAGTGGAAATAACATAATTATGTTATTTCCACTGAACATGTGAGAATGACTGTAAAGCGTTCAAGGCAGCATGTGTGCTTCAACATCTGCAAATTTCCAATAATCAAACAATGCATACTCAAAATGTTTCTTTTTCAATGGTGTACTGCCTTGACAATTACACAAAGCAAAATATCAATTGTTCATCCTCTTGACAAGAATCTTATAATTACCCAGCAAGATCTGCTCTGTGTTTTGGTTTCAATAATATATATTTATAAACTAAAAGCCACATTATATCAATACAAACAAAAATAGCACCTCTGGTTAATTATTAACACATCTTTTTAGGAAAACTGCGTTTTGTCATCTTGGACTCTGTCAAAAAATAGATTGTTTTTCCAAGGAAGAAAAAAAACAATTCACATCAATAAAAAAAATTGTATATTTGTATTATGTATATGTATACCTTCTCCAAAGTGTAAGCTTTGACTGCCAAAAGCTCTTTGATAAATCTTGCCTTCTTCAGTTCTTGAAAAAGGAACACCATAATGTTCAAGTTCAATCACTGTCCAAGGTGCTTCATGACACATGTAATGTATTGCATCTTGATCACCTAACCAATCACTACCCTTTACCATATCATACATATGCCATCTCTAATCATCCTCAGCCATATTACCTAGAGCAGCATTGATACCACCCTTTTAATTTTTTTTAAGCTTCATTAATAACATACAGTGTATAACAAAAAAAACCAGAAATCTTTTATTTATTTGTTTTCAATAATGGTTGAATGAAAATAGATAAAAATACATCGAAAAGAAAGCTGAAAATCAGAAGTTTTTATTAATATAAATTTTATATGAAACTTATTTTAATTGCTTTTAATATCAGGAAATGAAGTCAATTTTATTTTATTTAAAAATTCAATTATAAAAATCAGCAAATTAATTTCCCATTACGTGGTATGGCTGAAAAGTAATGAGAATCATTGTATTACTCAATAATATGTGGGTATACCTAAACAAAGTTAT